CATAGCCTTCTTTCTCCTCATCATCGTCAAGATTGAGAAAACCGGCTTCCAAATTATCCTCAACATTCATTATGGCACTAGAATCATCAATAATCACGTCGGTCACCAAATCCACGAACAAACAAACTTCATTACTATTCAATTGCCTCATAGATTTGCACACATGGAAGACCACCTTTTCGTCACCCGCCCGGAAAGTGAGCTCATCGACTTCCACATCAACAAGAGCCTTCCCTGTAGCGAGGAAAGGTCTACCCAAGATGATAGGCACCTCATAGTCCACTTCACAATCAAGAATCACAAAGTCCGCCGGGAGGATAAACTTGTCAACACGAACTAACACATCATCAATAATACCCAATGGCCTCTTCATTGTACGATCCGCAATTTGCAACCTCATGGAACTGGGTCTTGGTTTCCCGATCCCCAAAGTTTTGAACACCGAGTAGGGCATCAAGTTGATACTCGCCCCAAGATCACATAATGATTTGGCAATGTCGGCACTCCCAATAGTGCAAGGGATTGTGAAGGCGCCGGGATCTTCCAATTTTGAAGTCATTGAGTGCAAAATAGCACTCACATGATGTGTCATCTTACTAGTTTCACAATTCATCGACCTCTTCTTGGTGACCAAGTCCTTCATGAACTTTGCATAACCCGACATTTGCTCTAAAGCCTCAACCAATGGTACATTGATAGACAAACTCCTCATCATGTCAATAAACTTTTTGAATTGGTTCTCACTAGTTTGCTTTTCAAGCCTTTGAGGGTATGGAGGAGGAGGCCATGGCATTGGTGCCTTAGCCTTTGGCACTACTGGTTCCGGCATTTCAATCACGTGTTCCCTAGACGGGTTCACTTCTTGTTGCGTCTCCTCCATATTTTCACCAATATCAATTCGCACTTCTTCATTAGCTTGAACCAGATTGCTTGGAATTTCATCTTCTTGAACCACAACATCATCATCCACAATTCTTTGTTGATTTGAGGTAGTTGCACCTCCACCTTTTCCACTTCTTGTAGTCACGACCATAGCATACCCTGTATTATTCCCATCCTTTGGTTTCACCACCATGTCACTAGGTAGTGCCCCCTAGGACGAGTGTTCAAAGCTTGCAATATTTTGCCTAATTGAACTTCCAAATTACGAAGAGAAGTGTTATGAGAGCCTAGTTGAGCATCAGAGTGAGCAGTCTTCTCCATCCTGTGTTTAAACATGTTCTCAGTTCTACCCATCTCATTGTTAGAAGAGCTCAGACCTTTAGGAGGATAGGGAAGTGGATTGCTCGGTTTTTGGAACATCGGGAGCCTTTCGAACCCGACCCCTGGTTGTTGTTGTTGTTCCACCCTCCTTGGTTATTCCCTCCCCAATTGCTTTGATTGTTGCCACCCCAATTGCCTAGATTATTTCCTTCCCAATTGCCTTGTTATCTTGATTATTCCAATTGCCTTGATTATTGTAACCACCACTCCAATTGCCTTGGTGGCCTTGGTTGTTCCAATTTCCTTAATTTCCTAGTGACCGCCATTGTTGTTGATTTTGTCCTTCAGCATTGTTTCTTTGGCCTTGATAATTGTTGACATATTGCACTTCTTCCTCTTGCTCATTGAACGAATTACCTAGGTCATATCCACTATCGTCTTGCATGAATTTTTCCAGACGCCTTTGCATTTGTTGACCTTGTTGCTGTCTCTTGTTTATCATCATATTCACACCTTCCATCGCATTCACTTGTTTCGACCCTTGAATTTGTTGAAGCTGAGCTTTGGCAATTGGTTCATTATAGTTGTCAACTTGGCAATAGCTTGCCCATGATCATGTAGTTCCTCGTGTAGGTGAATGACATTTGGGTCACCTTGAGGAACATTGGCTCTACTATGCCATGCCGATGAGGTATCCGCCATCTCATCAAGAATTTCACAAGCTTTGGCATAAGGCATGTTCATTAAGTTCCCACCAGCGAGCTGATTTACCACATATTGATTTGTTGTATTGATCCCCTATAGAAGGTTTGTTGGATCATGGCCTCGGTCATATCATTCTCCGAGCACTCTTTAACCATGGTACGATATCTTTCCCAAATCTCGTGCAATGGATTCTTGGGTTCTTGCTTGAACGCAAGAATCTCATCCCGAAGTGTAGCCATATGTCCTGGAGGGAAGAATTTCGCAATGAATTTTTCAGCCAACTCATCCCATGTGTGGATGGAATGATTGGGCAATCTCTCTAACCAGTTCAATGCTTTTCCCCATAGAGAAGAGGGAAATAGCCTCAACCGTAGCGCATCCTCTGAGACATTAGTTTGCTTGCTCCCCCAACAAGTATCGACGAACCCTTTAAGATGCTTGTAAGCATTTTAACTCGGAGCCCCGGTGAAGAATCCCCGTTGCTCAAGTAGTGTAAGCATCACATCAGTAAATTGGAAATTGCCCGCCGTAATGTGGGGCGGGAATATAACACTTGCATAACCCTCGTTCGGTAATACCCGCTGACCAGCCGCTGTTGGTGGAAGTGGGAGAGGGACGGGAACATTATCATGATGCGGTCGGCCACATCTATTTTCTTGGGTTTCAAGAGGAACCTCATCAACTTGGTCATCATCCACGTCCTCCCCCATTGGCGAATTCCCAATGGGCTCGTTGATAAGAGTCATTCTCGTACCTAAAATCAATTCAAAAACAAAGTTAGTGACTTGGAAGGAAAAGAAGACAAATCACACAAAAACCCAAATATATAGCTAAATCTGTTTAACTCCGCGACAATGGCGCCAAAAATTGATGTCGCCCAAAATCACACCACAAATATAGGTTGTGAGGCGGTCGAAGCAATAATGAAAAGCCAACGCAAGTTGGGGTCGAATTCACAGGGTGTTAGATATGGATTAGCTATATATCTATACTAGGTGTGATGTGCCCAAGATTGCACTTCCACATATTTGGTTGTTTCTTTCTACTTCTAATGATTATGCTAATGTTTGCAAATTAAAAGCTAAGAGACGATATTTTTGGTGTTGTTGTTTTTCAAGTTGATAAAAGGTCTAGGGTCGTGATTTCCACCTAAGTGGTTACCTAATGGGTTATAAACTCTTGGGAAAATTTGATTGGTCGGGGTTGTAACATAGCAATCACACGCAATTAACCGCTCAATAACTCTCGGTAGTTAGAGTGATTCTGCCTAATTTGGCTTTCTCAAGTCCAAATGGGTATTGCACAAAACAAGTGATAAATGCTCAAGTCAGGTCTTACTATCTCTAGATTTAACCCTTTAATTGGGGCTATCAATTTCTTTAGTTCACCCCAATTTCTGGTTAGCCAAGTTTTCCTAGACTTAGTCTCTCTTTCTCAAGTAGAGGCTAAGTCAATTAGGCATGAATCAATGTTTGCAACCAAATATTCTTGATTTCAAGCAAGAACTAGGCTAAATATCACTAACCCAATCACAAACAAACCCTAAATCAAACACTAATTAAGTACCCACACTAGGGTTGGATCACAATCCTAGCTAGAAATTTAGCTACTCATGGAAAATGCAGAAATTAAAGAAGAAATTAAGATAAAATCCATAATAGAAGATTAAGGGAAGAAAATCTAATGTTAAAATGCTAATCTAGTACAATGTTACCCAATACAGTAAGCAAAAATGGCTCAGGTGCTCCCCCAAAACAAAACTTAACCTACAAAAGACAAAAAGTTCTATTTATACTAAGCTGAAAATATCTGACAAAATTGCCCTTGCGGATGTTGTGCGGCCGCACAATTATATGTGCGGTCCGCACATTTGAGATTGACTGGTCAATTGGGCTTTCTGCGGTCGCATAAAATTGGATTGCGTCCGCACTTCATTTAATTGTGCGGACCGCACAATTCTGAGTGTGGCCGCACACTTGGACTTGGGCTCTCTGATTCTCCTTTTCTGCGGACCGGACAATTATGAGTGTGGCCGCACTTGACAACCTTGGCCGCACAGTTATGGTGCGGTACGCATTTCTTCATGACCCAAAAATACAACTCTCTGAACTTCATCTTCTGCGGCCGCACCAGAATTGTGCGGTCCGCATGTTGTATGGGAATTCTATCAGAGGCTTCCTTATGTTCTATGGCCGCACTCAATATTGTGCGGTCCGCATTGTTCCCTTTTTTGCCTTATTTTGGTCCTTGTACAAGATTACTCCTTCTTGAGTTGATTTTTATTTCTTTGGCTCATATTCCAACACTCGTGCAAGAAAGCACATTTCATTAGTTTCCGGAAATACCTTTAACCAATTTTGAGCTAAAACGAAAGGAAGTGCAAACAAGTAGTCAAAATTCCTACTTATCATTGCTCTTACATCTCAAATCACCTTACATAAAATTCTCTTTGTCCCTACTTTCAAATTCAACCTCATTCTGTCTCCTCTATGACTGCACATCTCTGTGAGCACGTAACGTTTTCCAGATAGAAATTTGCTAAAAAGTCCAAAATGTGTTCTTCTAATTAGTTTTGATTTTTATAGAATTTTAAGGATTCTTCCCTTCTTGTTTGCATTTTATGCCATTTAGCTGCATTTTAACATAATTAGGATTATCTTAAAGCACAAAATGTAAAAATACTTTTATCCTTTATTTTATTGCATTATAGCACCTTAGTTGCTTTTTTAGAATTTAATTACATTATTAAATGCATAGTTAAAATACATAAAGTCATAAAAAATACATTATTCATCTTTACATTTACTTAGTTTATTAGTTCTTTTCATTGTTTGCAATGTTAACTTTAATTTTCAATATTAGGCAAAATAGATAGATAGGTTATTTATGCAAATTAGGATTAATTAGAAATTAACTTTAAAATGGTTAATATTGAAAATAGGCGAAGGAAAGAAAGGGCTGGTTGCTTTATATTTTGAACTGGGCCAACAAATTAGACGGCCCGGTGCCTTCTAAACCGTCCACCCCAAGTCCACATCTGGCCTAGGCTCCTCAATAAACTAAAAGACGTCATTTTGGCATGTGTCAATCTCGTCCGTGACGATTTAAAACCTACATCAATCATTTGCTCTCAACGAGGGCTATCGATTGGCGTTGCTAATAGACCTTTTCACGATGGCCGAAATCCCTTTCACCGGAATCCTTCGTCTTTGTCAAAATTCGTTGAACCTCAACGAGATTTGTTCAATGAAATACTTATCGGACATCAAGCATCCAGATAAGTGTTCATTGGACGAAGGTCGCTATAATTTAACCTCGAAACTCCGGCGTTTGATTTGAACCCTAAGCTTCCGGTCTTACCAGCTCTGTAAGTTTACACACTTTAATTGCTTTTCATTTTTTAGATTGTTTGTATGTCGTTGATTAGACATTAAATTTTTAGTTTAGGTATTAGGATATTAGTAGACATACTTTCAAAAGTAGAAATTCTTTTAACTACATTGACTTTAGTCAAATTTCACGATTAATTGGTGTTTAGGTTCTCTAGTTTGTTTTAATTGTTCGATTTTAATTTGAGATTGGCTAGTATTGATTTTTTTGGGTCTAATTGTTCTAGTGAATCCGTTGAATTTACAGATGAGAGAGGAGGAGGTTATGGATCGTGGGCCTAGTGACCACAAGGCCCGGATTTTGGTTGCTAGCAAAGTGCAAAAATGGGGGGGAGGGTGGGGGAGGGGGGGGAGTAGTGAGAAAAGAATAGCTTGAGAAGGACTAGTTTAGCAAATAAAAAAGGGAAGGAAAGTCGGGTGTGAGGAATATGGGGAGTAAAAAAATAGAAAGTAGGAGGGGGTAAAACAAAAGTAATAACTGAAAGATACTGAATTATGTTGATAAAAGGAACCTTACTCATTCATTCATTCACTCTCACTCATCTCACTCACACACGCCTTTAGAAATATAGAGAAGCAGCTGGAAATCTAGAATTGTAGATGTGAAGAACAAAAACAAAAAGATTTCAAAAGTTGTTCTAATTTCTGGGGCTTTACTTCAATATTTTCTAGTTTCTCGAGTTGTTTTCGGACCGGAAATTGAAGTTGTTAGCAGTTTCTATTGTTGAATCTGCCTTTTAGTAGCTGAACTTCATCTCTTAGCTTCTTAAAACTTTTATTTGGTCCTTTTAAATCGATATCTTGCAGTTAGGTATGTTACACTCATCTGTAATCCTTTATCAAGTTCTTGAATGAAAATTTGGGTTTATTTGCGATGTGTTTGTGCTTGATTTCATAGATCCAGCCTGTTTAGTTATTTTTAGTTATTAGATGTTTAGTTATTTTTAGTTATTAGATTTGCCTATAGTTCTATCTCTACTAATACTTGTTTGCTACCTGTATGTTTGAAATTATTTTCTTAACTTGAAATCACTTATTACTTCATTTGGATGTTGTTTTGGTGTTAATTGACAAAAATAGCAACTCAATTATGGTCACCAGAACTAGAACTAATCATCCCATGAATTTGATCACCAGTTGGTCAAATTCATCAAATGAATAGTTTCAAGTTCAAATTAGGCTATTGTGAAATGTTGCGAGCCAGTACTTGTTAAATTAACAAATAGGGATGGGCGAGATTGGAAAAACAGGAGTGCTTGCATAGCTTCAATGAAATTACCGCTGTGATTGTTAGAATAATTAGCCAGATGTAATAAATAAAGAATATTAAGCTCTTATATTCGTTTGTCATTAGAATAGTGTAAACTTAATTGAACAATCAATTTCTTAATATCAATTGTTAAGTTTGGATGTCTGTAACTTGACATGCTAAACGGTAGTGATACTGTCACCATAATTTGATTTTCATTCATTAATTACCTACAGATTTGTATAGCTATATTCATCTGTAGACATGTATGAGTGTGGGCTGGTGGGCCTTTGCATCTTTCAGAATACTAAACGCAATAACAAGTTCGACTAAACTTGTATATAACAGAAGAGTTCACATGGACTCAAAAATGAGTTGTAGGCCAGCCCAAAATGCGTTGGCCCGCTTAAGAAGCCTTTAATAATTAATGATGAGCCCAAAACGGCTATCTTAAGGAACTTGATTGGGCCAATCTGACCCAAACGATCTACTGTTGACATACGCTCAATGTTGGGACTAATTTGTAAAGACAAAGTTGAATTATTATAATCACAATACTTTTCCTCGCGCCTAATCAATTACATCCGTTTCCTCTTAATTAATCAAGTTCATAAAAATTTCAATGTGAACCAGTGACAATGTATCGCCTAAAATAGCATATTTCCTAATAGTTATTCTTTCCTTAAGCTCACAAGGTTTTCCACAATCAGGCCTCATATCAATCTCAAACAAGTTTAGCAAAATAATTAACTCTTAAACATGCGTAGTTGCTTTAGGCGCATTTTAACTAAAAATTCGTCATAGTTATGGGTATGTTTCCCATGGCATAACTATGACACCTAATTCCAAATTCAAGTGCATGCTCGTGTGACTTGACCTAAACTTCAAAGTAATAATAAATTAAACATGCCGTAATTGCGGGTGTGTTTAACATGGTGCGATTTGCAATATGTATAAAATGAAAAGTGTGTGACATCGTAAATTATTCTAAAACAATTTCATAAATACCTAAAAAAGATTAAAATATGCAAATAAAAGTGGTAAAAGGTAAAAACGCACATAGGTTTTTAAAACGTGTAATAATAAGACAATTATGTCGAGTATAAATATGAAGCGACCGTGCTAAAATCACATAATTCGGGAATGCCTCACACTTTCTCCCAGGTTAACAGAATTCCTTACCTGATCTTATATGTGTTTCACAAGCTTTAACAGAGTCAGGTTTTCCTTGAATTGGGATTTAAAACAAACTGGTAACTTGGAACACTATAATAAGTTATTACAAATGGCGACTCTATAAAAATAAATAAATAAATAATCCCTTTTCAATAATGTCACTTTAGTTGGAAAAATTCCTTTCCCCGAAAGAGGTGTGACAGCTCTGGCAACTCTGTTGGGGAAACGAGCCCGGAACTTCTGGTTCAGGGTTAAGAATTCAAGCTTAGATAACTGTTATACTTCATTTTCTTGTTTTTTGTCTGATTTTACATGTCTGGGCCTAATGTGCTAAATGTCGTTCTTTACCGCTGTAATATTGCGTAAATTGTATATGAACTGTTACGCAATCCTTCTTCTCTCCGAGTCTTTTACATCTTCTATGAGTGCACGTACGTGCTACTCTTTTTTGTTAGAGTGTCACACCCCTAATTTTAGAACGAGGATCAGATTCGTTGCAAAGCCGTTGAAGCTTTTGTATCCCGGTATGCTACCCCTCCCCCCCCCCCCCCTCCGGCTCGAGTTTTCCGCCGGGTAAGCTTGGTCTAGAATTCTACACATCAATAGGTTTAAACCTAGAATAACAAAGCCCATATCGGATCCCTACTAGGTACGCTTGTTTGCATCACGTGTATTATTTAGGAGACTCAACACAGGGGTTGGGTCCGTCTAGAACAGGTGTACATAAAAATAAAAGACTAGTCTAATGCATTCTTACATGCTACTTGTACATTTATTTGATCTGGTTTGAATGTTGACCGACTTCTAGAATAGAAAATGGAAAATTAAAATTCGGAGAGAGAAGTTAGGAGAGAGAAAATTTACCCGGTTCTTTAAAAAATCCCGTATTTGAAAAAAAAAAAATCCTGAAACTCATCTAAATTTTGAAAGGGTGTTACAAAATAAACCAAATTTGCAAACATGTCATTTTCCCCTATTTTGACAAACCTTCCCGAACTACACAGGTCTGATCCTTACTGGCCGTGAGGTACGTAGGCAACCTTCATTAGTTTCGTGACCACTTTTGCAAAAATAACCCAAAGAATAAGAATCTGGTAAATTCTTTTGAAATATGGTCATCACCCTGAGACGTTCTTGTCGAGATAACCTTAATGCTTTCTTCTGAGATGTCGAAAGGTTATTTTTGCAAGAATAGCCATAGGTCAACCCGAGTTTGTCTTTTCCCCAAAGTCAACACCATTTGGCAAAAAGAACCCTAAAATTTTTACCCAAGCACTGAAGGGCCATATTTGCACAACTAGCCCATTTTGTCACTGGTTTTATTAAAATAAATTTTTAAATTTAGCCACCATTGTGTTTTTGAAAATAGTGTCGATTTCTGACCTTTTGCCCTGATTTGCGTGCAGAATGAGCACTATTCAGAATCTACCTTTTCGGGTCTTAGATGAGGTTCCATATGTGGTAGAATGACCTGAGGGAGATCAGCCAGCGTTCTGTGACTAAGGTACTGGGTGGTCTCATCGATTTGCTAAAGATTATGCCCATGGTTGATCTGATTGAGGCACTGATACCGTTTTGGAACCCGGCACACAATGTTTTCCACTTCTCAAACTTTGAACTCACCCTGACGCTAGAAGAGATAGCGGGTTATGCTAGATTTGATGGAGGTCCTAGGCACCCATATCCACTAGCCCCGAGAGTTGTTACACCTCATAAAGTCTTGGACCTTTTGAGCATTAGTCAGCAAGTTAAGAATGAAAATTTGGCCGAAGGTTTTTGTACCTTTCTTTTTCTAGATAGTCGGTATAGGGATTCCAAGGAATTTGAGGCTTAAGACACCGGTTTGTGCCACCATGTTAAGAAGAACAAGTGGGAGTCACGCAGAGGCTTGGATTTCATAGTTGCAATTTTGGGCACTCTGCTATTCCCAAGGGATGACGGACATATATATTTGCGCCTCGCAGGGATTGCTGACTTTTTGACCAAGAAGGCCAACGGTACTCTCGTGCCGATGATCCTCACAGATATTTATCAAGCCTTGACATCTTGTAGAGTTGGCGCGAGATTTTTTTAGGGTTGTAATCTGTTGTTGCAGATGTGGATGGTAGAGCATCTTTCCCATCGCCCCAGATACATGAACCATGGGCTAACTGGACTCAGTTTCATTGAGGAATAAGGGGCCAAGATAGGTGGTTATGAGTTCCAGAAGGTACTAAGGCTTGGTTCACGCATCGTTGCTCGTTAAATACAAATCAAATCGAGTGGAGTTTCAGTTGGCTCGTGGTCGACGAGATTATTTACATGTGTGCCGGTGTCTGGTTTCTGTTATTAATGGGCCTTCAAAGTGTTTTGCCTTACGCCCCACATCGGGTTCTACACCAGTTGGGAAGGTATCAAACAGTCCCTCATAATGATGATCTGAGTATACAGGTTGTTAAGCTGCGCCAAAGGGCTGTTTTCCTTGATGAAACGGTTCGCCAGATTTGGCATAGATGTAGGCTTTTGGAGCCACACACTCAGGTGCGAGATTTATCATCACGGGAAGTAGAGTCTAGCTACACGGCATGGTATGTTAAAAGAGTTTTGGTAAATCAAGAGCCGGAAAGACACGCCAAAAGACTACATATCCAACAGTTCACGAATGGGGAAAAAGAATAGTGGGCCTGGGCAGCCAAAGAGGAAGAATATCTGGCTACTATCAGCAAATTAAAAGATCAAGAGAGCCCTTAAATTTGAAAGTGATTTGCAAGCTGCCGAGGATGTGGGAGAAAAGAAAAGGTTAGCTCGAGTAAATGAGGCCCTCCTAGCCCAGCATCGGGAAATGAAAATAGCGTCAGAGACGCCCATGAGGAGTGAAAGAGACTAAAGAATCATTGTCAACTTGAGGCAAAAAATGTATGACCATGCGGCCGACCTAACAAAGGCTGAAAAAGAATTAGCAAAGGCTCGGGCAAGGATAATCGAATTGGGAAAGATTTAGGGGAACACATGTGATTGGCCCGCCATGCAAAGCAAAACTACGACGAAGAGGTCGCGGGTTGAAAGAAAGAATTGGCCCTTCTTGAAAATGATATGGGTCAACAAGTTAAAGAATTCATGACAGAAAGGGAGCATTTTTATGCCTTGCTTAATAAGCTAGAAGGGGACGCGGTGAACTTGAAAAACCAGAAAGATGGGGACGTGCGAGTATTGAAAGCCCGAGAACAGCATATCACATAGCTTCTCTGGGACCGGAATGTCACCAAGTTTAGGATCAAGGAAATAGCTGACTACATTGCCAAGAAGTGCCATGAATGTGAAGATATGACCAAGGATATGTTCTTCGCCATGGTGTTGGCTTTTGTTTGCAAGGTCATGGCTGATTTAGAAGCCCTTCATCATGAGATCACGACCAGGCCCGCGACATGACTGTTGATGTCACTCGGGACCCTAATTTGAGTTTTAGAGTTGGGTTTTCTATTGTATCAGTCATTTCTGATTATCGAGTATGTAGTTTATTTTCTTACTTCGAGTTTGTTAGTTGCTGCCCATTTTGAGTCTGTTGTTATTCTTACTTTGGATATGTATGTTTTCAGAGTCAGTTTAAATGTCATTTTGAGTTTTGTAATGATAAACTCAAAAGGATTTTATTTAATGAAATATTTAAAATCCCAAAAATTTCTTTGCTTTTACAGTTATTTTCCTAAACTACATAATGGTCTGATTCATGCAGCATCATGATATGTAGGCAATACTCATAGGATGCGATCAAAGCCATAAATAAACTGAGTGAAAAACCAAAACAAAAAAAACAAAGAGCGGGAAAAATAAAAAGAGAAAAAATAAAGATTGATAAAATCCAAAAAGAGAACGTGAAATTGTTACACCACACACTTAACTAAAGTGTGGTAAATGTGGATTCTAGCATGGCCAATCAGCTGGAGACACGTTCGAAGCCAAAAGAAAGTCACACGTTTCATTGGGTCCGCACCAAGTGTCTCACCGGACGCTGCAACCAGGGCAGGGCGACCCATTTTGCATGTGGAATTGGCGGAAATTCCTATGCTTGGTAACAGTATAAAAGGGCAGTAAGGTTACTTCCCTTTAATTTTTAGAAGTATCACCGGAACAAGTCCTCTCTAATATTCTCAACGCCTCTTTAGAATTTCCTAACAAATTAAGGCAAAGTCGAAGGTGAATATGGGTTTAACAAGATTTAGCTTGAAGGAACTTGGAATCATTGTTATAACACCCATTGTCTGGTGGCATTGGTTCTGAAGATTCATTAATGGCAAAGTTAACCACCATAGAAGTAAAGTTAACTCCTCAACAAAGATATGTAGGGCAATCTTCTTTCTTGGCATGAGTTAGTGTAAGTCTCTCCTTCTTTTTAAATGACTTCTGTACGGTAAGGATTGGTAGTTCTAAGTCCCATAAGCGATGTTATCCTGTTTTTATGCGTGATGTTATTATGTTCCTGTGCATTCTTGCTGGTAGCATGTCTTTCAAAGTCCGTATTGTTTCCAGTTGGTATCATGTGGTCGGAGGGTATGATTCATTCTGAAGTCTAAACTTGTTATCTCCTGAAATTCTTACTGCATTGAACTTAAATATATGTATCTATTTTACTCCACCGAGTTGCGCTATAGTCAGCTGTGTACGACACCTATTTTGCAACCACTGATCAGTTGGGTATGATGAGGCATGACATGATGACATTACCGAGCCCATGTGAGGCCGAGTGCGATGATGTGTGATGTGAGGATACTGAGTCCTCTTGAGGCCAGCTACGCCAAGTTCTGTTAAGACTTGGTACAGCCGAGACCTCCTGAGGCCGGGTACGACCAAGTCCTCTAAGAGGTCGGGTATGGAGTGATCAAATTTGCCCCAAAGAGTGGCTGAAGGTATATATGTGTGTGTGTATGTGTGTATATATATATGTGTGTGTGTGTGTGTGTAAGTACGTATGTATAGTATCAAATAATGCATCTCCCTAGTGGGAGGCTTGGGTTTACAAAAGGATGCATTTATGGTCCCTGGTCCATAATTTCCACAGTTGTGGTTTGTCTTCGGTATTAGGTTTAGAATCACGTACTCATATCTCTTATTCTATGACTCTAATTTACTTTTGTTTCTTAGTCTTGCATACTCAGTATATTATCTGTACTGACTCCCTTTCCTTTTTGGGCGTTGTATTTATGCCCACAGGTACAGATAGACCCGGTGACGCCCCTCCCCAGTAGGTGCATGATTCAACTGTTGATTGTTGCTCTCTCTCCTTCGGGGTAGCTGTTCATAAGTTAATAGGTATAGGGGATTTTGTAAATGTTTTGGGAACGGTGGGGCCTTGTCCCAACCTAGTTGTGTACATCTATGCTTTTTTGTACTCTTAGAGGCTTGCAGGCTAGAGTTCAGTTGTATATTGTGTAAAAGGGGCAGTTACGACTTCGTTAAGAACAATTGAAATTATGTATAAAGTGCTAAAGTTTTCTTTATTAATCAGTTGTACTCATTTACAATTTTGGTGACTATCACTTGGAGGTCTCAATGGCCCGAATTTATGAATAAGAAGATGAAAGAACACGTGCCGGTTCGCACGGGCCTTCGACCGTCGTGTGCCGGTCGCACCTCCCAAGATTAGGGTGTGACAAACTTGGTATTACAGCAGGTCTTGTCCTAGAAAGTCTGCAAGCCGTATCTAGTGGAGTTTTATTTATCTGTATGTGGTGCACCATACTTATAAACATGAGGCTACAAGATACTTAGGGCGAATACCCTTCTTTATGATCTAGATCATGCAATAGACCCGACTCGTAAGAATTCACTTCTGATTCCTATCTTGTTTATGTTTATAGTAATGTCTATTACGCGACGTCAAACACTTGTTCGGGGACTAAATGAAGAAGCAGGAGAAGGTACCAGTCAGGTGCCACTTGCCCCTATGGGTCAACATGGACCCCACGATGAGGTTGGAACTCAAGTTCCTGGGAAAGCACCACCACCCCGATCCTCCTAGAGAAGTTAATGCACCCCTTATTCCTCCCCCGGTTGTCCTTGAGAAGGATTTAGACATGAGAAATGCAGTGCAACTGTTGACTCAATTAGTGGCATCTCAGGCCTAGCGAGAGTCCAGAATTTTGTAAATTTGGACCCCCGGTGTTTACAAGAATATACCCCAACGAAGATCCCCATAATTTTCTAAGCCAAATGCAACGGACCTTACGAGTTATCGATGCCACTGATACAAAGTCCATGGAACTTGCTTCATACAGATTAGGGGGATATTGTGGTAACTTGGTATGAGACGTGGGAGCAGTCTAACGGACCTCTTTCCCCACGGATAGGATGGAAGGAGTTTTCTGAAGCCTTTCTGCAGTAGTATTTGTTCGAAAGAATGATGATTTGTTAAGGATGTGTATCTATTATCGACAGTTGAATAAGGGAACCATAAAGAACGGGTATCAACTTCCAAGAATCGTTGATTTGTTTGATCAATTGCAAGGTGCTAAGTAATTCTCGAAGATTGATCTCAGATCTGGGTACCATCAGTTAATGCTCAAGGAAGAAGATGTTCCAAAGGCAGCCGTTTGGACCCGATATGGCCATTACAAGTTTCTTATTATGTCCTTTGGCCTAACCAATGCACCATCGGCCTTCACGGATCTAATGAATTAAGTATTCAGGTTGTATCTAGATATTTTTGTGATCGTGTTCATAGATGATATCCTGGTGTATTGTCAATTTGAGGCAGAGCACACAGGACATTTACAGATGATTTTACGCACACTCCGGGATCACAAATTGTACGCTAAGTTTTCCAAGTGTGAGGTTCGGCTGAGCTCGGATCCAGTGAAAGTATCAAGATTGATAGCCAAAAGATTGAAGCTGTTAAGAGTTGAACAAGGCCCACAACTCCTACCGAAGTACGTAGCTTCTTGGACTTGGCCGATTACTATCGAAGGTTTGTGGAAAATTTCTCAATTATAATTGTTTCATTAATGAAGTTGACGCACAAAACCAATCCTAACGCTCCTTGAAGGACCCGATGAGTACGTGGTATACTGTGATTGGGATCGGGCAGTGTTCTAATGCAATACGGGAAAGTTTTGGATTAGTCTTGGAGGAAACTAGGAAGCACGAGCAGAATTACCCAACTCACGACGTGGAGCTAGCAACTGTTGTATTTTCCTTGGAGATATGGCGTCACTACTTGTATGGAGTTCATATTGACATATTCACCGATCACAAAAGTTTGCCGTACATATTCAAGAAAAAAGGATTAAATCTGAGGTAGTGAAGATGGCTTGAACTGTTAAAGGAATATGATGTTGACATTTTATACCATCCCAGGAAACCAAATGTTGTAGTAAGTCCGTAGGCAGTCTATGACATGTGGAAAAGCAGAAGTTGGAGATGATTATAGATTTGTACCGACTAGAAAACCTAAGCATGAGATTGCTTGATACCGCAGCACAGCAGTCACAAGTTGAAATGCTGCTGAATCCTTGCTCGTAGCCGAAGTGAAAGCACGACAATTTGAAGATCCAACCTTGGTGAAAATAAGGGAAATCGCTCCATCTCAAAATAAGCGAGTGTTTGAACTTTCCGAGGATAGAGTCCATAGATACAAGGACCAGTTGTCTATGCCCGATGTTAGGAAACCTCCAGAACAGATCATGGTAGAGATTCATTATTCCTGGAATTCTATTCATTCGGGGTCAACTAAAATGTACCACGATCTTCGACAGTTATACTGGTGGAACGTCATGAAGTGGGACATCACTAAATACGTTGTTCGATGTCCAAATTATTAGCAAGTCAAGGTTGAGCATCAAACAGCGTGAGGGCTGCTGCAGAATATGGGAATTCCGACCTGGAAATGTGAAGTGATCAACATGGATTTTGTTATCGGGTTACCAAAATCATGCCAAAAGTTTGACTCTATATGGGTCGTCGTGGATCGACTCACCAAGTCGGCTCACTTCCTACCAGTTAAGAATACCTTCTCAGCTAGAGATTATGCTAAGATATACATTAAGGAGATAGTTCGACTCCATGGGGTTCGATTTCCATTATATCAGATAGAGGGGGTCCAGTTTACAACTAACTTCTGGAGATCATTTGTAAAGGGATTAGGAACAAAGATCAACCTTAGCACAGCTTTCCATCCACAAACTGATGGCCAAGCCAAGTGCACTATTCAAACGCTCAAGACATGTTACGAGCATGTGTTTTGGACTTCAAATGAGATTGGGGGGGTCATCTACCACTCATCGAATTTTCTTACAACAACGTCTGCCATGCCAGTATTAAAATGGCATCATATGAGGCCCTATATGGGTGAAAGTGCAGATCTCCTATTGGCCGGTTCGAAGTGAATGAAGTAAATTTATTGCGTCCAGACTGGTACAACAAGCTGTAGAGAAGTGAAGCTAATTTGAAAATGATTGTTGGCTGACCAAAGCACTCAAAAATCTTACTCGGATAATCAGTAGCGAGATTTAGAGTTCACTATATGAGATTGGGTGTTCTTGAAGGTATCACATATGAAAGGTATGATGAGATTTGGCAAATGAGGCAAACTTAGCCCTCGGTATATTGGACCATATCGAATCATACAGAAGGTCGATCAAGTGGCTTATAAGCTTGAGTTACCCCTAAAATTCGAAGTAGTACATCAGTATTCCACGTGTATATGCTCGGAAGTGCTTGAGTGATCCATTCCGTGTTACCCCTATTGAAGATATCCAAGTTACAGAAGACCTATCTTACAAATAAATCTTAGTAGCCATCTTAGATCGACAAGTCCATAAGCTACGAACTAGAGAAGTGGCTTCAGTTAAAGTACATTTGAAGAAATGACATGGGAAGCTAAAGAAGATATAAGATCTAGATACCCCCATTTATTCCCCACTATGGAAGGCAAAAATGCGACTATCCCGACGGGCCATGATTCAACATTCGAAGATGAATGTTCTGAAGGGATGATGTTACACTCCATACTTAAATAAAGTGTGGTAAGTGTCGATTCTAGCACGGCCAATCAGCTGGACACACGTTGAAGCCAGACGTTTCATTGGGTCTGCGCCAAGTGTCTCACCGGGCGTTGCAACCAGGGCGGGGTGACCCATTTTGCATGTGTAAGTGGCGGAAATTCCTATGCTTGGTAATAGTATAAAAGGGAAATAAGGCTACTTCCCCTTAATTTTTAGAAGTATCACTAGAACAAGTCCTCTCAAATACTCTTAACGCCCCTTTAGAATTTCCTAGCAAATTAACACAGAGTCGAAGGTGAATTTGGATTTAGCAAGATTTAGCTTGAAGGAACTTTGAATCATTGCTATACCACCCGTTGTCTGGTGGCAGTGGTTTGTAAGATTCATTAAAGGCAATGTTAACCACCACAGAAGTAAAGTTAGCTCCTCAACAAAGTAAGTAGGGCAATCTTCTTTCTTGACATAAGTTAGTGTAAGTCTCTCCTTCTTTCTAAATGACTTTTGTACGGTAAGGATTGGTAGTTCTAAGTCCCCTCGGTGATGTTATCCTGTTCCTGTGCATTCTTGCGGGTAGCATGTCTTTCAAAGTACACATTGTTTCGAGTTAGTATTCTGTGCTCGGAGGGTGTGATTCATTCTGAAGTATATACTTGTTATCTCCTGAAACTGTTACAGGATTGCACTTATATATACGTATCTATTTTACTCACTGAGTCGCGTTATAGTCGGCTGGGTACGACACCTATTGTGCAACCACTGATTAGTTGGGTATGATGAGGCATGACATGATGATATTACTGAGCCCTTGTGTTTCTAGGTATGATGATGTATGATTTGAGGCTACCGAGTCATCTTGGGTCCGGCTAATTCTATTGAGACCGGGTATAGCCGAGACCTGCTGAGGCCGCGTACGTGAGTCCTCTAAGAGGCCGGGTATGGAATAATGAATTTTTCCACAAAGAATGGTTAAAGTTGTGTATGTATGTATGTATGTATGTATGTATGTATGTATGTATATATATATATATATATATATATATATATATATATATAGTATCAAATAATGCATAGCGCCAATGGGAGGCTGGGTTTTACAAAAGGTTGCATGCATTTATGATCCATGGTCCATAATTTCTACAGTTTTGTTTATGCCCATGGTGGTTTGTCTTTGGTATTTAGGTTGGAATAACGTACTCACATCTCTTATGTTATGACTCTGATTTACTTGTGTTTCTTAGTCTTACATATCCAGTACATTATCCGTATCGATGCCTCTTTCTTTTGGGCGGTGTGTTCATGCCCACAAGTACATAGAGACCTGGTGATGCCCCTCCCTAGTAGGTGCACGATTCAACTATTGGTTGTTACTCTCCTCTCGTTCGGAGTAGCTATCCAGAAGTCAATAGGTATGAGGGAAGATGTTATAAATGTTTTCGGTATGGTGAGGCCCTATCACGACCTGGTTTGTACGTGTATGTTTCTTTTGGTACTCTTGGAGGCTTGCAGGCTAGAGTTTTGTTGTA